GTGAACTTTCTTAGCAGCTGTATTTCTCCTGTATTCTTCTTGTTGTATGCCGCCTTCGTCATTGAGGACAGAAATATTTTTTCCTATTGAAAAGAACAGTACGTTTTTCGACAAAACGTTTATGGAAAACTGCTGAACGTATGCGTTTGATGTTTAACTGCGTTTTAAGATCTCTAAATGAATAATACCCTGCGAATCCTACTATATCTACATTATCTTTCTTACATGGAAATCAGATTTTGGGATCAGTTTTGATGATTTATCCTTATCAATCCACTACCTTTTGCGTTGAACATTGTTTTATGCCACCCACTTTTCATCACCTGTTATGATATATTTAAGGAGCAGTTAGTTATTTAATATGTTCATCGTTACAATTGGTTCCCAAGAACAGAAATTATTACTTATGACTCAAACTAATAAAATGTTCAATTAGGCAAACAAAATAAACCCTGATCAACCTTTCACATTGAGAATTATTTTCTAATTTCTTTTTTTTTTTTAAATAAAGGCTAACAGTATTAAGAATCATTATTGCTGATATGTCTTCTCAAAGCAAAAAAATAAAAATGGGAAGAACAACCTGCTTATGTTGAAAGCGGGTTTTTTGTTGTAATGGAATGTCCCACACTCCCTATCGCCTATGTGGACTGACTATATAAGTAGATATGTATAGTAAGTACGGGATATACCTGGCGGAGTTGCTTCAGGAATTAGTTGGAGATTCATCTCCAGCTGTGCTGGTCGAACTCTCTGCTTTCGGGCAGAGAGGGAGCCAGACGAGGCTATGCCGAAGATTAGAGTCTTGTCTGGGGTGGCAGACCCCATGTATACGGAGTCTACGGGGAATTTTTGCCCGAGCGTACGCGCTCGGTTTTGACCCGCATTAAAAAAACAGCCTTGTGCCACATCCTGTTACGCGGGGAGTTAAGGTAAATAAACTTGCTTAGGGAATTACAAGTCTGCTAACCGATTCCTTGCATTTCAGTAGTGTATTCTCTTTTACAGTCAAGCTCTCCTTCGACGCCCGTGTCGCTGTTCCTTTCACTCGAGTACCACCTTTGTCTGTTTGTAACCTTCTTTAAGGATACAACAATATTTATTCAGCTTTGCACAGGGCCATTTTGTGGAGATTTTACGAACAGCAATTTCAATGGATTGGAAGATTGTTTTGTTAAAAATCATATACTATAAATAATTATCTTTAAGATTATAATAAAAAAAATAATAATCTTTATAAGAACAATATAAAATAATATAAAAATATTATTTTACATTGTTCTTATTAAGAATATTAATATAAAAATATTATTTTATATTGTTCTTATTAAGAAGTTAAGAATATTGCATCTAATTTTAATATGAATTCTATAACTGTATTCATATAAAGTTGCTATTAGTCACATGGTGACTTTTTTCCAGCTATGGGTAAATAGCGGGACACACCGGGTTCTATAGCCTTGGATGGCAACTGGTCTACCGCAGAAAGAAATGGCAACCTACTACGGGAAAAAATCTACCACGTCAGTCATGTATCGAAAGATACATGATTGCCTAAGCGTGTATCACGCATAGGATATCACTGAGTCACATGATGTATTTTCTTACCCTCCGCCCCCAAATCGTAATTCCTAGTTAGCAACTTGTTTGTTTTGCTCCCTCCCACTGCACCCCTGACCCAGTGAGAGCGTGTAGCACACTCTGCGGCGCAGTTGTAGCTCGGTTGCCGTTGGGATCAGACGCCACGTGACGATGCATTTTCGGAAACCAGGGTTAAATAACGATTATTATTATTATTATTATTATTTCCTTTCATTTGATGTTTCGTTACATTTACTTACTTGTAAATACCCTTGGGAGAGCCATGAATCCATCTGCACTCCCACCCCGGCTATAGTAAGACTTGTATCTGAAAAAAAATCTTTGTTATTCGAAAACAAAAATGTTGGCACAATATTCACTCATAAAAAAAGTAATTGTTGTTAAAATCCAAGAATATGCTTACTAATTAAACCACAAAATGTTGATAGCCCATTAAAAAAAAAATCAATCATTTAACACGTTTTTCATCCAAGAATTACTCAGAATTTTTTTTTTCTCCATAAGAACTTGTTGGAAGAGTTTTTTCTTCCATGTTAACACAATCTTTTTTATGCTTCAGATAAAGATGGATTTCCTGGGATTTTTCTTTTTCACTGACCAGGTAAGTATTAAAAATATTAAACCCAAGCACAGGTGCTGCTGATGGGTAGGCTTCCCACAGACAGTACCTTTTCTTCGTGTGGAGGCTGGGTTTATTGAGTCATCCCCAAAAGCGGAAGTGCCGAGGGGGCTTGCGCAATTTTTGCACGGTATTGCCGTTAAACCCATTTTAAACTTCGACCTTGTGTCACATTCGATAGCGAGATGGGCGCGATGAAGAAATACCTTCTTAATGTCATTCCCTATAGCCTTCTGAATCACTCTTTGCGCCACTACTACTACTATTGAATAAAAGAGAAGCACATCAACATTGTGACTTTGGGGTACAATCATAGGACGCCCAATGTAGCCATCATGGCACCCAGTCTGATAAGTGTACGGCAAGCACAGGCATCGCAGACAAATGTGTGCTATAAGGTAAAAGCTTTTGACAAAAGCAGTGCAGAACCAAGCAGGTGGCGTCCCGTTACAAATATGCCTTCAGGTCGGGTAACCCAATCCGCTCAGATAATCTCGGATTTAAGGTGTTCCCTTCCCTAGAACCTAGATGTAACGCCAAAGTCGACTTGGCTGCCTCATCCTTCAAACTTAAACAAACACAATCCTCTCAGCAAATCTGATTCCAATTAGGAAATCTCCTACAGTGTAAGAAAGTTATGCTAATGGGACTATATTGATTCCAGTTGAAAGGATCGGTTTTAATGTGACTAATCTCTGATTCTAATTGGAAATTTCAAGAACGGAAAGAAAATAAGTTCGGAGAAATTAAATTCCGATTTCAATTGGAAGATTCCGAATGCAAATGGAAGTTAAAGAAAGAAAACATTGATTACAATCGAAAACATCGGACATGGGAAGGAAAAAACTTTAGAAGAATTGCAGTCTGCTTCAAACTGGAACAATCGGATTTTCGATGATGATTATGATTAGTGAAGATGATTATCAGTGACGATGGTTAGTGAAGATGAAGATGACGATGATGATGACGATGATGATAAGTGATGTTGATGATGATTAGTGAAGATATTAATGATGATTAACGATGAGGATGATTAATGAAGAGGATGATGATTAGTGAAGATGACGATGAAGGTTAGTAATGATGATGATAATGATGATGATGGTTAGTGAAGATGATGATGTGATGATGATTAATGAAGAGGATGATGACTGATGAAGATGATGGTTAGGGATGAAGATGATGATGATGGTTAATGAAGATGATGATGATGATAAGTGATAATGGTTAGTGATAATGATTATGATGATGATGGTTAGTGAAGAAAAGTGATGATTAACGAAGCTGGTGTACAGTGATGATAATGATGATGGTGATTAACAGAGACTATGATGATGATCAGTGATGATGATAAGTGTTCATGATCATTATCATCATTAGTGATTATAATTAGTGATAACTGATGATGATGTGAACATGATGATGATCAGTGATGCAGATGATTGATGATGATGATGATAATGATGATTACATTAATTTTCACGGCAAGCAATTTTGAGAAAAAATTTTTTCTGAATCCTTTCAAAGACAAATCCGATCGTCCAAAGGTTGGAATCTCTATTATAAAAGATTGAACTGATTCTCTGTCCGTCACACACCGTCTGCGCGTATGCCATGTACATGCGTGTGTGTGTCGTGTCTACCTGACATTGAATGTGCGCACGCACACACACACAATACACACACACAGAATTTGAAATAAGACACTGAAATAAATTCCGCTCCCAGTGTGGACAGCCCCTACCCTGGTATGAGCAATTAAATCAAAGATGGCAACAAGAAAAAGAAATACAATTTGACTGAGTTTGAAATAAATACTGGAATTTTGCCTCGGGGTTCTTGACAAGATCCAGAGATGGATATGCAATATAATTGGTCCCGATCTGGCATCTCGTCTACAGTCACTTTCTCACAGATGCGCCGTCGCCTCTCTCTGTCTTTTTTACAAATACTTTCATGGCAATTGCTCCGAGGAGCTGCATTCGCTGGTTCCCAGACTTCATGAGTTCAAGCGCCCTACGAGGCTGGCATCCCGCTCTCACCCTTTCACTTTTAAAACATGTAGCCGTCTCTTCTACTCCAATAGCTTCATATCTTGCACCTCTCGCCTGTGGAACTCCCTTCCCTATTCCTGTTTCCCTGAGAGCTATAATCTTCACCTATTCAAATGTAATGTCAATCGACATCTCCAGTTGCCTTGATCTATCCACTATCCTTCTCCTCATCCTTTCCTCTATCACTCCTATCTGATCTTGCTCCAAATCTTCTGTAACCTCCTGCGTCCTAGTGGCTTCCCGTCTTGCTTGGGGTGAAACGCTTAAAATAAATAAATAAATAAACTCCCCTCTCACTCAGTCTGGACAATCCCTATTCTGGGTTGACCAATAAAATGATAAGTTTGATGACGCAATTTTTTTTCGCCGCCCTAAGAAAATCAGACGATTATAAGATTTTATTTAACTTTACTTAAATTATTTCTGAATATTATTCTATGAAGACAAATATTTTTGTAACTATACTATTATTTTTTAAAGATTTTTTTTCTTTCTTTTTTTAATTTTAAAGAAAAGGTTTGGGTCTCCTATTGAAGGAAAATATGCATCCACACATGCAAACGTACATACACACACACACACACACTTTGAATGGAATTGTAGGTAACAAGAAGTGTGCAGCACTTTGAAATGATTTTTACAACTCCATCTGCGTTTAAACTGAATAAATTTGATAATAAATGTAGTAAACTAAAAACTCAAACCATGTTCCTAATTCAATTTGCTTTCGACCATGCCACGTTTAAACACCAGTTCCGTACGATCACCGAAGTTAAGCAACGTCGAGCCTCGTCAGTACCGAGATGGGTGACCGCTTGCGAATACCAGGAGTCTAAGCTTGGATGTGTGGGTGGTGTAATGGATAATGGATGGGACTTGTTCATCAAAGAGCCAAGTTTGCATTCCAGTTGGGTTCATTATATTCACACGCGCAAATACTCTTAGCAAAGGTATAAATCCATCTCTTCTCTTCCTCCCAGCTATGGGTTAATTAGTAAGACTTGTATCATTAAATTATTATCTACAAAAAATGCTTAAAATCTAAAAATATTTTCTGGCTTTAAATAACCTGCAAAGAGTTGATAATCCGTAAAAAATGAATGGACCCATCAATATGGATTAAATAGTCTCGTCAAATCGAGACTTTCATATCGATGTAATCAATGGCACCAAAACCGTTCAGAAATATCTAAACTGTCAATTGCATACAACTGCTTTCACAGATCGAGCATTTAAAATAGCATGGTCCGAATGAAGCATAAAGATCTCAGAAAGAAACATACTTCAAATATTCCTTTCTAACATTCATCAGCATGGCTGATGCTAACCTTCATGAGAATGACTCGCGGCGTCTTCTCAGGTTAACATTCTCGGCTGACATGATGTGGAAAGACTATATTGAATCCATTGCTAGGTCAGCTTCTAAGAAATTTGGCTCAATGTGTCGTGCTAAACAATTTTTTCTCTACAGAAACTCTCTTACATATATATAAGTCGACCATTCATCCATGCTTAGAATATTGCTGCCACATGGTTTGGAGCTCCGACTATATATCTAGAAATCCTTGATAAAATCCCAAGAAGAATCAGCTATATTATAGGTCCTGCTCTGGCGGCTCGGATTCAGTCACTTTCCCACCGCAGTAGAGTTGCTTCCCTATGCCTTTTCTATAAATACTTTCATGGTAATTGTCCTGATGAGCTCGTCACGATGATACCTAGTTTGTTTTTTTTTAAATTTAAGCGCAGTATTAGAACGTCGAAAAGATCTCATTAATTTACATTGGAGTTGGTACCCAACCGATTACCAAGTAGTGAAGAACAGGGTAACTAGTCTCGATGAATGCCGAATGTTTTCTTATAAGGAAACGGCTAATATTACCATTACAGATGGGGAGAACAGATACTACACTTTGATCCCAGCCCGATGGCCAAGCAGTGAAGATAACCTTAAGTTCTATGCTAACAGTTTTTTTTCTTGCATTTCTTAATTGTGGAACTCTCATCCGGCTCCATGAAATCCATTCAACTTTAATCTTCAAAAGTTTAAATTCAATTCTACTGTGCACTTGATTACTCTTCTTTTGTTCTCGTTCCTTAGTAATGTTTCTGTTTTTTTAATTCTTCAACACTCGGTAACCCTTATGTCTTAATGTCTTTACTAACTTGCATGAGGTGAACTCTATAAAAAAAAAAAAGGTTAATGGACTGGCCTTACAGAATTTCAAACAAAGAATTCTACCAGATAATCGAAGCCACATCACTTGGGTACTTTCAACAGCAGTAACAACTAACATCTCTTGTTCGGTTAAGTCTCATATATATTGTCCAGATTAGAAGATAAACCTTTAGATAAACCTTAGTATTTATCAATCCACCCACGAGGATTGAATGTGGCACAAGGTCGGTTTAATGTGGGTATCTCCGAGCCCGTAGGCTCGGCCAAAAATATAGCCCTTGAACCCGCCTAGACGGGTTCAGGCCCTGTCTACCTCCCCGGACGAAACCTTGCCCTTCAGCAAAGCTTCGTCCGGGTTCCTCTCTGCTAACGCGGTGAGTTCGACAGACGTCGGAAGTCAGCTAAGAACTTCCCTGTCTTTAGATAAACCTTTGAAGCACATGTAACACGAATGGAGAATAATGATATAAGATGCTGACATTCCACACTAGCACAAACAATAGTCAAGGAAAGAAACCGTCCATCAATATTAGAAAAAGTTACTGAGCGTGAGAAACCTATTTTCCTGAAAAATTCTTTTAAGAAAAACATTTTATAAATTTCAAACAGCAGCAGCACTGGATGCTGGGACAATGAATGCCGAATGTTTTGTTATGGTCAGGTTAGGACCAAGGAAGAACAATAAGAACACAAGAGTAAAAAATAACGAAATGTATATTACACGAAATAATAATACAAGAGGTGGAAGGTGTTAGTATGACTATTAGTCTGGTTTGGAGTGAACTACTATCGGCTCGACTCGATTCGGTATTTACTTGTCCCCCACGAGAGAAAGATGTGGCACAAGGCCCAGTTTTACGTGGAATTTTCAAGCCCGTAGGCTCGGCCAAAAAATGCCCGTAGAACCCGTATAAAAGGGATCGGGTTGGTCAACCTCCCGAACGTGACTCTGCCCTTCGGCGGAGCCCTCAGGTTCCTCTGCTCAGAGGCAGAGAGTTAAGCTTCTCGGCTTGAATATCTAGCCACCACCCCACGAGGGTTGCATGTGGCAAGGCCGAGTTTAACGTGGGTTTCCGAGCCCGTAGGCTCGACCAAAAAATGCCCGGAGAACCCGTATAAACGAGATCGGGTTGGTCAACCTCCCCGAACGAGACTGCCCTTCGGCCGTCCGGGGTTCCCTCTGCTCAGAGGCAGAAAGTTCGACCGTCAAGCCCGGCTTGATTCGAAACCGAGGGTTGCATGCGACACAAGGTCATTTTTATCGTGGGTTTCCTGAGCCCGTAGGCTCAGCCAAAATATGCCCGTATGACTCGTAAAAACGAGATCAGGTGGTCATTCACCCCGATAGATTCTGCCCTTCGGCGGAACCTCGTCGGGTTCCTTTTCTGCTCAAAAGCAGAGAGTTCGACCGTCAAGCCGAGAAGCTCGGCTTGATTCAGTATCTAGCCACCCCACGAGGTTGCATGCGACATAAGGTCATTTTTATCGGGTTTCTGAGCCCGTAGGCTCAGCCAAAATAGTAACTCGTAAAAACGAGATCAGGGTAGGTCATTCACCCGAACGAGATTCTGCCTTCTTTAGAGTTCGAATCGGCTTGATTCAAGCCACCCCCACGAGGGTTGCATGCGACACAAGGAATGTAGGCTCAGAATGACTCGTAAAACGAGATCAGGGTAGGTCATTCACCCCGAACGAGATTCTGCCCTTCGGGCGGAAACCTCGTCCGGGTTCCTTTCTGCTCAAAAGCAGAGAGTTCGACCGTCAAGTCGAAAAGATCGGCTTGATTCAGTATCTAGCCACCCCCCCACGAGGGTTGCATGCGACACAAGGTCCGTCCAGCCAAAAAATATGCCCGTATTCGTAAAAACGAGATAGGGTAGGTGATTCACCCCGAACGAGCTTCTGCCCTTCGGCGGAACCTCGTCCGGGCTTTCTGCTCAAGAGCAGAGAGTTCGACCGTCAAGTCGAAAGATCGGCTTGATTCGGTATCTAGAAAATGCGACACAAGGTCATTTTTTGAGCCCGTAGGCTCAGCCAAAAAAAATATGCCCGTATGACTCGTAAAAAAGATCAGGGTAGGTCATTTCACCCGAACGAGATTCTGCCCTTCGGCGGAACCTCGTCCGGGTTCCTTTCTGCTCAAAAGCAGAGAGTTCGACCGTCAAGTCGAAAAGACGGCTTGATTCAGTATCTAGCCACCCCACGAGGGTTGCATGCGACACAAGGTCATTTTTATCGTGGGTTTCCTGAGCCCGTAGGCTCAGAAAAATATGCCTGCATGACTCGTAAAACGAGATCAGGGTTTCATTTCACCCCGAACGAGATTCTGCCCTTCGGCGGAACCTCGTCCGGGTTCCTTTCTGCTCAAAAGCAGAGAGTTCGACCGTCAAGTCGAAAAGATCGGCTTGAAAGTATAGCCACCCCCCACGAGGGGTTGCATGCGACACAAGGTCATTTTTATCGTGGGTTTCCTGAGCCCGTAGGAAAAAATATGCCCGTATGACTCGTAAAACGAGATCAGGGAGGTCATTTCACCCCGAACGAGATTCTGCCCTTCGGCGGAACCTCGTCCACTGCTCAAAAAAGAGTTGACCGTCAAGTCGAAAAGATCGGCTTGATTCAGTATCTAGCCACCCCCCCACGAGGGTTGCATGCGACACAAGGTCATTTTTAAACTGACTCGTAAAAACGAGATCAGGTAGGTCATTCACCCCGAACGAGATTCTGCCCGGAACTCGTCGGGTTCCTTTCTGCTCAAAAGCAGAGAGTTCGACCGTCAAGTCGAAAAGATCGATTCAGATATTCAGCCACCCCCACGAGGGTTGCATGCGACACAAGGTCATTTTTATCGTGGGTTTCCTTTGGTATAACTCGTAATAACAATTCACCCGAACGATTCTGTACGGAACCTCGTCCGTTCCTTTCTGCTCAAAAGCAGGTTCGACCATCAAGTCGAAAATCCTAGCCACCCCCACGAGGGTTGCATGCGACACAAGGTCATTTTTATCAGTCCGTCCTCGTAAAAACGAGATTTATTCTGCCCTTTTTCGTCCGGGTGTTCTGCTCAAAAGCAGAGAGTTCGACCGTCAAGAAAAGACATTCGACCCTCTCTCTTGAGAGGCGTAGTATACATAGTGTTAGGAAAGTTCATTCTGTAGTTATAGGTAACGACCCATGACATTTCCTTATCAGGAAACGGTTAATATTATCATTACCATTATAGACGAAGAGAATAGATGCTATGTTTGGTATTTACTCGCCCATTGGTCACGATGACGCGATATGGCACAAATCGAGTTTAAAGCAGGAAAACCAAGCGAGTCCACCTTGATTAAGGTGTAATATTTGCCCGGTTCCCGCAACCATCGTCGATATTCCACCGACTCTCCCTCTTTGGTGCAAATAGGGAGGTACAGTCGCAAGGTTGGAATCCCCGGGACCAGTCCGCCCTCATTTATTTTTTGTGTTCTTTCCGAAGACAGAAAAACAATTGAGTAATAAAAATCTAGTTTGTCTACCCGAAGGCAGATACCACACTTTGATCCCATCCCGATGGTCAGTGATTGAAGATAAGCTTAACTCGAGTAACGCGGTCGAGGAATGCCGAATGTTTCCTTATAAGGAAACGACTAATATTACCATTACGTTTAGAA